ACTACATTAAACAGCCTAAGAATGTGTTCATCCTTTTCCAACATGAATCCCACTCACAGAATAATGAGACAGAGGCAGCTGGTGGTGTAGAGGTTGGGACTGTAGAAATAGTGTATTATTTCCTATTTTTGTATTCTATAATTTAAATATAATTATATTTGATTAATTATTTGATATAAATTGTATAGTAAGCAAAAGAATTTAAGAAAGCTATTCAAACACTTGTAATGACTTGTAAGCATTATAAGCAGATATTATACTGTCACAAATTAATAAGTATGTCTTAACCTTGTAATTTAGGCAGTATATTATAATCACTTGTATAAGTTGACAATTTATAAAATTATATTGGAAATTGCCAAGTTTTAAAAGTATTTTTTCTTGCTTATTTAACATTGTACTTTCCTTGCTTAACTCCCCAGGAAGATTATAAGTAATTGGACAAATTTTATAAAATATATAAAATATACAAGATTACAAGCAAGTATAATACTTAAGACTTTTTTGTAATGCAGGAGTGCCCTAAGTACTCTCTCTTATTGAGACATCAAGTGAGTGTCTACCTTATATACTATATAGTGAAGTCTAATAGTCTGAGACATTCCAAGCATAGTAACTCTACATAAGGCAATTAGGGATTTCCTAATCCAGAGCACAATCTAATACTCCCCTTCAAGCATTAATTAAGAACTATGACTGTATGCCTAATAGTTTGTTTAGATACTTGATCTGTAGGATGTGGAGAGCTTTTGTAAGGATGTCTGCTAATTGGTTCTGTGATTGAACATAGTATACATTGATGTAATTGTTTTGAATATAACATTGTATAAAGTCTTTTTGTAAATCAAGGTGTTTAGTGTGAGTGTTGTACATTATTTTGTCAGACTTTACAGTCTTTATTACACCTTGATTATTACAATAAATTGTAATGGGTGCTGATTCAGTCTGTAGTACTTCTTCAGCAAATTGTTTGAACCAAATGGCTTCTTGAGTAGCATACACTAGTACTTATAACTCTGCTTTGTAAACAGATAGTAGTACCAGGTTTTACTGTTTGCTTGACTAGGATATGGTTGATTTAGCTAATTGAAAGATGTAGCCATTTATTACTTTATGTCCTTCTGTCATTTGTCTGTCTGTATCATAATAGCCTTATAGTTTTAAGGCATTTGTGCTTCTAAGTTGAAGCCAGCAATTTGTTGTATATTTTAAATATGTAAAGCAATGTTTCACTACTTTGTAGTGATGTGTTTGGGGCTTTTGTAAGTAGCACACTAATTGCCTAGTAATATAAGATATGTCTGACTGTGTGCAATCTGTAACATATCTTAACAATTCTACTATATTCATGTATAGCATTGTTTCATTATTACTTTTGTTTGTATTGTATGTATTGTTTGTATTGTTAGATAGATCTATT